ATTATCGATTCACAAATTCGGGGTTTATATATGTTAACAGATTAAATATTCACAAAAAAAAATTAATATTCAAAAAAAATTAATATTCAAAAAAAATTTATATGCAAAAATAAAATTAACAATAATATTCTCAGTATATTCAAGTTCGTTAACAATAATTTTAATATTCGTCTCACATTTTAATATTCAAATCATAAAATAAAAAATTATTTTTATTCAAAAAACTTCATAACTTTAACACCTTTTCACTTCGACTTGATTCTACCACTCATAAACTGCTATCTTGTCCTCCCATCGGTTCCTCCTCCTGTACTGCTAATATGTTATTGTCAACGCTAATCGTGGGACACCTCCGTAAAATATGATCTCCCCCACAATACCAACACGACATTCTTCTTCGTGTTCCCCAATCCCGTTCTCTTCTTCGATTGTATGACCAGCCTGCGGGTCTGTCTACCGTCATATCTCCATACCTGGTCTGTGTCTCTTCTCTGGCTGCGTCTACCCATCTTCTAGATTCTGCCGATCCATCAACCATCCTAATTTCTATCTTAATAATAAAGTTGCCCACTTGAACGTAAGAAGCCATCTATAACGGAATTAAGCTAAATATTTACTATATATTATCATTTATCTATCTCATATAATTCACCTACTTCCTAATTCTAAATACTCATAATTATTCTGTACTAACTTATACCTCTCTCATTCTCTTTTACCTTATATCAGATGTAATATCAAATTGTTCATCCCTTCAGCCTACCTATTCCACTAATTGTGTACATCATGCGTCAACATCATAATTATCATAACTCTCACAGACTTGTTACAAAAACAAATCAGTTAAGTCTATCATTATTCCCAACATCATGATTCTCATAACTCTCGCAGACTTGTTAAGAAAAACAAATTAATTATGTCTAACATCATTCCCAACATCATGGTTCTCATAACTCTAGCAGACTTGTTAAAAAAAACAAATCAATTATGTCTATCATCATTCCCAACATCATGATTCTCATCAAACTTGTTAAAAAACAAATCAATTATGTCTATCAGCATTCCCAACATCATGATTCTCATAACTCTCGCAGACTTGTTAAAAACAAATCAATTATGTCTATCAGCATTCCCAAATCAAAGCAATTTAATCGATTACACCGTCTTATATTCCTAACCTATAGGTTATCATATTCCAGTCCAACATCCAGAGCCAGGACACCATGAAGAAAGAAGCTTTTTGCATGAATGTGCTAAGGTTTGATTCTAGGTCATCTCCATAGATTAAGCAATCAACACAATAGGTAGTCATCACAATAGGTAGTCATATAAATAGAGTCATCTCAATGGATTAAGCAATCGTCACAATAGGTAGTCATCACAATAGGTAGTCATATAAATAGAGTCATCTCAATGGATTTAGCAATCGTCACAATAGGTAGTCACCACAATAGGTAGTCATATAAATAGAGTCATCTCAATGGATTAAGCAATCGTCACAATAGGTAATCAAATCAATAAATAAGGTAGTCAACACAATTTCGAATTTAATTTTTACTTTTTTATTTTAATTTTAGGCAAATTTTATATATTTTCTTCTTTTTTTTTTTTACCTTTTTATAATTTTGTAAATTTGGATAAAATTTTGACTATCGAAAAGAAAAGTAAAAAAATTTTATTTGTCCTTTTATCATCTCCAATATCGAACGACGAATTTGATAAGTAATTCCTTTACTTTTTATTTTTACAAAAGAAATCGAAAGAAAAGACGGATAAATTCTTTTATTATTTTATTTTCAAGGTAAGGATATATTTTAATTTTTTAAACTTTTATTATATACTTTTTTTTAAAAAAAAAAAACGAAAAACGTACCACCGTAACCGGGGCACCATGAAGTAAGCTATTCAAATTAATTATTTTTTAAAATATTTTATTATTATTCTATGTCTAAAAGAACTAAAAATATATCAGTATATATATATAAAAGTTAATTGAAAAATATATAATATAACAAATGTTTACAATCACGTTTAGTGAATAATAAGTAAATTAAAAATAACCAAAGTCGACTATGGTAATTGAAATAGTTAAATTAAATCAAACATATCAATTAATAATATAAGATTAACTATTTAAATTTAAGATTAATTATTTAAATTTATTTAAATATATGATCAATCAACAAAGGTAATTATAAGTTTTTATAATATATATATATATAAATTATAGGCATTCCTACTAGCAGCTGGTTGCAGAGATTTAGGAAAAGACAGAATATAAATTTTCATATTGTTTGCAATGAAAAGGGGAGTGCCGATATTATTAATGCAAAATGGAGCAGAAATACACTCCCATCTCTGATTAAAGATTATCAAAGGAGTAATATTTACAATTGTGATGAGACAGGACTATACTACCGAGCATTACCAAAGGGCACAATGGAATTTAGTGGAACTCAACCACTGGGCTTCAAAATAGACAAGGAAAAGGTCACAGTTCTATTTATCATAAATGGGGATGGATCTGATAAAAAGTTATATGTTGTAGGGAAATTTAAAAACCCTAGGTGCTTTAAAAATAAAAAATTACCAGTTAAATACTACCCAATAAAAGCAGCTGGATGACAACCTCAACTTTTGAAGATATTCTTAAAGAATGGGATTCCTCATTAAAGAAGAAAATTTTATTGTTTTGTGACAATGCATCTTGTCACAAAACAAAATTAACATTTAACAATATAAAATTAATTTTTTTACCAGCAAATACAACATCATTAATTCAACCTTTGGACATGGGTGCAATTAGATCCTTTAAATGTCATTATAGAAAGGGTATCATGAGAAAAATGATAACATTGATAAAAGGAAATGATACCACCTCTTTTTATAAAAGATTAACACTTTATAATAGCCTCTATATAAAATTTGCATGGGGTGAGGTGACAAGTACCACAATCATAAAGTGTTTTATTGAAGCTAAATTTTTTGATAAGTCTATGGCATTTGATTGGGAATCGGAGGATGATATAGCATTAACTGACAACGAAGAAGATGAATTTGATCCCATATTTGAAGAATATGTGTTACACGATGATGATGCTAGCTGCCATGGAATTTAAGATGATCAAGATATTTGTAATCAGATAAGATTAGAGTTGGAAGGTTTAATTACTTAAAATTTTAATTAATCTTATTTTTTATAGAAGGTTATGAAAGCTCCGAGAATGACGAAGGGAACCTAGAGATATCTGATCATTTAATTACAAAAAATCAGGCTCTTAATGGTTATTATACTTTTCTTGAATATGCTCATGAACATCTAAGGGATCAAGATTCACTAAGAAAGCTAGAGAATATAGTGGAAAAAGAATTATTTACTCCAGAGTCTAGCCAAACTCTTATCACAAAATATTTTTATTCTTACATTACTTTATAATAATTGTGATGCATGTATAATAAAATTAGTTCAAATAAAATCTTATGTTATAAAGCATTAATAAACTTTTATTCCAGCATGGTCTGTTAATATACATTTATAATATTAGAATTCATAAGATTTGAATAGGCACAGGATTTTAAATCAAATATCATGTGAATGAAAACAAAACACTTAATAAACTTAAATTCTTTTATATTAATCTTATTGTTTCCAGTTTTTTAGGCAAAATATTTTAAAATTTGGCTTTAATAATAAATTAGAATTTAAAAAGTGATAATATATTTGTGTAAAATTATATTTCAGTAAATTTAATGAAGGTAAAATGACAAAAGTAGTTAAAATTAATGGAAATAAATATTAGGGTATTGTAAAGGAAAAAATGTTATTATCTTTCACAAAAGCTTTTTTTTGCTTTAATTCTTACATATCTTAAATAAAAAATGAAATAAAATCAAGTAAACAAATTTAATTGAAATAATTTTATTCAATAAAAAATAATTTATTAACAACTATAATGCTAATACATAAATAATTACAATCTTTTTATAATTAAAAGTCTTGTTTTCTTTGTTCCTTTCTGTCTATAATCATGTGATCTAGAGAAAATATAAATATATATATCAAAATATATCACATTACTTTCAAGTGCTTCAGATATTTTAATATTATTTGATTGATCTAAATTAATTTAATACTTTTTATAAAATAATAACTTGATAAATTGACGATAAAAATATAGGATTATTGGTGGGAAGAAAAAAAAGCTATGATCATATGTTTTAACAAATAAGATAAATTTTTAAAATTTAGTTTTTTTATTCGTTACATAACTTATTCAAATTAAAATATATAGTTGGTTACATTAATTAAAAATTGTATTTATTGCAAAGTTTGATGGCTTATATGATTAAAATATATATAGATGATAAATATCTTTATAAAAAACACAAACTGATTTTTAATAAATAAATTGTTGAATTTTAATCGTATAATTGCGAAAAATCGGATAATTGCGAAATTTTTAAATATTTCGGTCCCAAGCTTTCGCAATTAAACGGTTTTGACTGTAATGAAGGTTGTATTTTAATTTTTTGAGATAATTGGAATTGAGTTATTGGTTGATTATCAGACATACGTAGAAGGTTATTGACTAAATAATAGGTGTTATAGTGAATTATTTATAAAAAATACTTACCAATAGGGGATTTACATTGTTCTAAGATATGATCATGAGTTTCTGTGAACTTACCTGATTATAAAATACTTCATCCAGAACAATTTCTTTTTCTACATCGGTAATATGATATGGAATTTATTACCCTATATGCATAGTATATTCCAAATCATTAAAACATAGAATATCATGTCCTCTTTTTGATTTTTTATTAGTAATTTTGTTTTCTAAAATTACATTACTAAATTGATTATATCTAGATTGTTAACTTTGAATTATATTGGGATTAATTCTTTACCAATGATATATATGTTCTTTTCTCAAGAAGATTTTCCCGCACTTTAATGAACTAATCACAGAATTGGACAAAACTTTACGATGAAGTGTCCATACGATCATAGACACGGAAATCAAAATAATGAAAAGGTTAATTTTTAAAGATTAATATAATCTAATTCTTATTCAAAAAGGAAATCAAATGAAAAAGATCTTTCTGTGGATGTTAGTTTTATATATGAAACAATTATTGAAAAGTATCAAAAGAAATATATCGACTCTGTACAAGTAATAAGTTTTAATAGTAAATAAATAAATATATTTAGAATTATTATCATTATAATAATAATGCCAAATTATCTTCTACTATACAAAAACAGGTATATGCTTATTTTTATCAATTAATTAATTATAGATAAAGAATATTGAAAAAATATCTGAAAATACCATTGAATCATTATTAAATCTTCAAGAATCATGCAAAGTTGTTAAACTCTATGGAGTAACTAAACTTCCAAATTCATATGCCTGGTGCCCTATCCAACATAATTATATGGTATTATATTAAATTAATGTTTTTATAATTAAAATAGGTAGAGGATGAATCATGTTTGCACAATATACCTTATATGGGCCCAGATATTTTAGATAGAGATGTTAATTTTATAGATGATTTATTAAAGAGTTATGAGGGAAAAGTTCATGAAACAGAAGATGATTTTTGTCAAACTCTGCAATCTTCTGAAGGAAATCAAATCTGGGCAGATTTAGGCATTAAAGAAGAGAATTTTGATTATTATTTATCAAATAATATACCAACAGGCTGGCTATATATAATAATATATGAGCTGATTGAGAATATAAAAGCAAAAACTAGCAATTATAATCACAGTTTAGGATTTTGTCATAGAGGATCTCCAGTTAAAGTTTCTTTGTCACCTACTAATATATTAAGTAATTTATTTTATTTAAAATGTTAACAAATAAAAAATTATATTAATAAATTTAATATAAATATGTTAAATAAGTGATAAAATTAAACCAATTGATTAATGAAGACATCTTATGTGGAATTTATATAATAACTGAAGAAGAACAAATGATTATGAAGGAAATATCTGAAAAATTCTCTTGTTTGGGGAGATATGAAGAAATCAAGCGAAAGTTATACATTTTCTTAATATCTCATATACTCAGGGCTGTAGTTAGGGGGGGGGGGAGATTGTGTCCCTTCAAAAAAATTAATTTTATTTATAGTGGTATTTAGCATTATGAATATTTTTAACATTAAACAAACATTATAAAATATTTTTTAAACAAAATGGTAGTATATTAATTAGGGTTGGGCATTAATGTGAATACTTAAGTATTTGTATTTTATATTCTAAAAAAATAAAAAGTATTTATTATGATTTCACAATTTTCAAACAAATACAAATTGTATTTTTTATTATAAATTGAATTATAAATGTAAATCCATATTTAAATATTAAATTTGTAACCCAAGTTAGCAACATTCTCCATTTAAAATCTTATTGTATTTTTTAAATAAGTATTACTGAAAACAAAAATACAAGTTTTTAGATGAGGAATGTAAGTAATCAAAGAAAAGGAGTTTCTATATTAAGATTATGTTTAAAAGATATTTTACAGAGATTCCATGTCAACATTACCAACCTCTAATTGTATTTTGACAATTTTGAATGGATATTCATAAATCTTATGATTTGGTTATCCAGCAATTTATTATATTCTGTAATTATTCATTAATTCTAAATAGATATTATTTAAGTTAAAAAATTGATAGTGTGTTGCAAAAAATTGACTTGCAAAAAGTTTTTGTTAAATATTTTATATTTAACCCACTAATGGTCAATGTATTATATCTGCAACATATTTATAGATTTTTCACATAAATTTTTTGAATTGATATAATTTCACATATGAATCTTATAGCTCGAGGATTGTACTATAACGTATAAAAACATTTTTTTTAAAAATAATTATTTTTGTATGCTTGATGCCACGACTATTTTGGAATATTAAAATGCCATATGTTCTAGGCTCTTTTAAATGCAATTGAAATAAATTTATTTCTTGTAGATGCCTTAACCTATTCTAATTAATTTTGACCCATCATTCTATCTATTCTATTTATAATCATGTTTTTTTACTCATTTATGCAATGTTGACCATATAAGGATTCAAAAAAAGTAATTTTTCTAAAAAAAATTATATAAAATTTGGTATACTATTTCATTATAAATTTTTATTTATAATCTTACTAAACAAATACTATTTTTTCATCATAATATTTATATTATTTATAAGAAAAAAATTCCAGAAAATTCATAATTTTATTGCTATTCTCATTTTATTTTTCATTTGAACATCAAAATTTGTAAATTATTTATTATCATCTTATATTTTTGACAAATTTTTAAATAATATTAGAATTATTATGACAATCAATTTCTAACAGTTGATGAAGCCCTATCCATGCTTTTTGATTAAGGCCCTATTTATAAAACCGATGTTCTAATTATACCTCCTAATGTTACTTTAGTTAGTCATGAAGAATATTTTGATGAAAATGATCTAACTGAAACACCTAATCTTACACAAGATACTGCAGGGTAGATTGAAATCCAGAAGACATTGATATTGTCTATGAAACTTCAATATCTACAAATTAGGAAAGCAAATTAAATTTTCCAAAAATTTAAAATGGAGAAAAATTGATCCAATATACACACTATTAGTTCAATTTATAAAACGTGGAATATATGGTTCCACTGGCAGAATTCAAAAATCTATATATCCGGCCCTTTCACTTCCTCCTTCTTTTAACAAATCCAGTAATAACTACATCCTTCATTGCAAAAAATTTTCCGCTGGAGACTCATTTTCATTCCAGCTATTATTGTAGAACAATTGTTATAACCATCTTTCTCCATCACTATACTTTTCATTTTTCAACCACGATTTCACTACTGCAACTATTCTCTCAGCCTGACTATTGGAACTGGTATGATTTGGAACCGTGATAACATGCTTGATACCGTGCATCTCACAAAACGCCTTAAACGCTACACTTGTAAACGCCGTTCCACCATCAGTTATCATCTTTAACATTTCATACTTCCCAAAAAATTCCTTCAATCTTCGTATGTAACGTTAATCCTGACACCTTTGAGCAATCAATCCATTTTGAAAAAGCACCCAATACAAAAAAATAATACTTCCTAATCCAAATGAATCCGTTCACATGCCTGTGTAGTTTCCATCCAGCCTTCTTGGTAGATTTGACCAAACATTACACGTTAAACACTCTCCTCACTATTCCAATCGGTCACTATACATATTCTCTAGTCCATTGTTTCATTCTACTTACCCCTTGATGTCCTGCTTGTAGCATTCTAACTACTTTATCCATCAATCTTCGTGGTACTATAGCTCTATTACCCCTCACCAAATAGTAATTTATAATTGTTATTTCCTGTTCCATCAATATATATGGATTAACTTTCCTTTTCCAATTTTTTTCTCCTATTAAACATTGCTTAATTTTCTTTAACTCCTCATTTTAGCGTGCTATGTTTTATTTCTTGCCAAGTTGCTGGACCATTCTCGAAGGATAATTTTCTAATCACTCAATTATCATAATCAACCTCATCCTTGTTCACAACTTCTTCGATACATAATCAGGATAACACATCTGTCATATGATTAATCATTCTCTGTCTATAATGTACCTCCATATTGAAATTTCCAACTAACAATAGCCACCTGCAGTCTAGGAGACCATCAGTTCCTTGTTATCTTTTTTGAATAGATACATCAACGGTGATCCGTATAAAATGAATATGCACCCTATCAGATACTCTCAGCTTTTCATGAACCCAAATATAACCGCCAACGGCTCCTTTTTGATAACAGAATAATGCTCCCCCTTGCGACAAAATATAACAGGCATTTCCTCCTTGTCTAAAATTTGTAATAGCCCTCCTCCAACCCCCCTTGCAGAAGCATCAACTGATAAAATCACCTCCAAATTCTTAACACATAATAAAATTGGCTTTGACATATATTATCCTTCAACTCTTAAAATACTTAAATCACCTGAAGGCTGTATTATCTTTCAACAAATAATATAATGGATGGCTATCTCTGCAAAACCTTTAATAAATAGATGATAAAAATTCATCATTCCCATAAATGATTGCAACTCCTTCTTGTCCTTTGGCGGCCACATATTTATACCTTAAATATTTTTGCTTAATGGAATGACTCCTCTGTCTTCTATTATATGTTCTAAATATATTACCCGGGTGACTCTGAACATACTCTTTTCCCTATTTGCGCAATCCTCTCATTTATAAGTTGTAATACCTCATCTAATCTTTTATTATGTTTCTCCATTGAACTCCCACTAATCAGCAGATCATCTATATAATAAAAAAATTTTCATTTCTTGGAAATTTGTATTCATCACTTTTTGGAAAACTGGCACAGACATACTTAACCCGAATGGTAACCGTTTAAAGTTGAACAATTCCTTATTCGTCGTTATAGTCAACAGCTTACTGGTATCTTCGCTAACCTTCATTTTGAAAAATATTTGGCACCTTTCAAATTAACTAAAAGTTCATCTATTCTTGGCAAAGGAAATTTGATCTCTTATACCCATTAAAATATCGTGATCCGGAAATCAACACATAAGCAGAGTGCCATTGGGCGTTCTATTTGACACTATCGGTGTCACCCAACTACTATTATTCACTGGCTCTATACTTCCTCCCTGCACTCATCTGTTCAACTCTTTTTCTATATCAGCCCGCCATTTAAAAGAAATGCAACAAGTTGGACAATACTTAGGTATTGAATTATCTTTCAATTTTATATTCACCTTAAAATTATTTAATTTACCCAATTCCTTTATAAAAATATCATTGTATAGAATCTAAAATTCCTCCATCTCTTGTATATATTTACCTACAACACTTTATCTGATTCCTTCACCATATTATTGTCATTTGTTCTGTTACCCTCAGTTCCGTCTTTATTTATCCAAACCTTTTTCCCATTTTCAATATCTTCTCCATTATCCCTTATTTCATTATTTTCTTTTAACATAAATCACTATATCTCTCATATAATCATGATTACAAAATTCCAATAGAAATATTTGAATTATTTTTTGATCAAAAAATGCATTCACTGTTTGTGGACCAATCACATAATTACTCGCAAAACAATAGACCAAGTTTTATTACAACCGAGTCAGAGATGAATAGATTATAGGAATTCTTTTGCTGACTGGATATCATTCAATACTGCAAGAATGAATGTATTGGTAGAATGACAATGATATTACTTTACCAATCGTTAGGAATTATGACACCACATACATTTTGTGATATCAAAAGGAATCTAAGGATAATCTTTAGTCCGCCCATATTTAAATTTACTAAATAAAAAGTTTTAAAATTCGGTATATTTTTACAGAATTTATGCATATATGAGCAAATAATACTTTATCGAGGAAGGATTTGAATATAAATCATAAACCCTTGCTTCCTCTGATGGATGCATATTTGCAATTAATATATATCAAGGTAAAAATAAAAGCCCAGTAGTTCGAATCTTGGATTAGGAGGTACGGTTGTTACAAATTTACTCAAAGTTGTCCAAGTACCTTCTTTGCATTCTATTTACTTCAATAATTATTTATACATCTCTAAGACTTTTATAACATTTGAGGCATTGATTTTTCGGACTATGAGAAAAAATAGACCTGAAAATTCTCCCTTAGAAATAATTAATATGGCAAAAAAGAGAGGGGCTATTACGACTGCCAGTTTGAAAAGACATATTGTAGTTCGATGGAATGATAGTTCAGTGGTGACAGTTACATCAACATGTAAAGTTCTTAGCCATCTATGCAATGTATCAAGATTCTCTAAAGATTTTCTCTAAAATAAAAATTACACAACCTAATCTTATAAATTCATATAATTCCAATATGGGTGGCATTGATCTGTGCAATAACATAGTACATATAGAATGAATATACGAAGTAAAAAATGGTGGTGGCCTATTTTTAGTAATTATTTACGTAATAGTAGCAAATTCATGGAAGTTATGGAATCTAGTGAATCCTG